CCAGATTATAGCAATTATGAAATCATCTGGGCACAAGTTGGCAGATTCTTGATTAGGATGGCAGATCACTTGATTGTACCTGGGAGTAATCCTCCATGGCTTTTAGCTCCATGCTATGAATCTCTTGATTCCACCCTCTGAGTCATTCTTCATTTCCTCATAAAAAACGGTATGTGTTCACAGGTGAGCAGTTTTTCACTCTCATTATTTGTACAAATGTGGAAATTCAAAGCCTATTTTTTAGTTTGTAGTGTCTCTATCCCTTATAGTCTAAGCTTGTGGCGTTTCTTTGAGTATGATAACCTTAAATACTTTGTGAGTTTTCTGTGAAACTCACTGGAATTCACTCCAATAAATAAAAGCCACACCCACAAACATCTTTTACAAAAGTCCTTCTCTACCTTTGTCTTCTGCTGAGACAACTATAGGACAAAACTCTTAAGTGTTTTAGATTTGTTGTTTGTGAGGATCTGTGAGACACACCCTAAAAAATGCTTATAAAGCCTTTTCAAAGGCTTTATAAGCATTAAGCAATTACTCCAAGACACCAGCTTTGATCTTGCTGAATTCACATCAAAAGATTGTGTAGTCTGACCCTGTTTTTTACCAGAAGCCATCTTGTCTCTTATAATCTAGTCCCAAAATCATCACATGATACCTTATGCTGTATTTTATTGCTCACACAGACCTAATATGGTTTTTAAAAGGAGAAATCTGTAAGAGATCATGAATATTAGGAAGTGGGGATCATTGGGAGCCGTCTTTGAAGATGGCTATTTTAAGAATTATTTGTAAACCACACACAGCAATTTATACATCATGGATAAATATACAGAGCTCATGTATGTATCTACCTGATGTCTCAATTGATGATGATTAAAATAATAAATTTCCTGTCTGAGTGGAGTTGCTTTATCCTTTTCCAACTTCTCTGGGTCCTCAGACAACTATCTTTCAATCATCAGTAGCCAACAGTATATAGGTTTTTTCTTTGTATCACATGTCTTCTGTGAACAGGGTAATTGAATCATTACTATAAAAAATTGGGGCAAAAGTCATAGGCAGTCTAGCCAAGTCGTAATACTGAAACATTAACTTTGACTCCAGGGACTGCTGTTGACCGCACATTAAAGGTAAAGTTTGGGTCAGCTATCTTTGACCTAATGGAGATGCAAAGGAGTGTCAAACTGAAGTCTCTTTCATCTACGTTCTGCTTTCTTCTTGTAGAAGGAATCAATGCGTTGCATGGGTCCTGCAAACATTCAGTTGATGCCCGGGCCAAAAGACTGCAGTCTGTTAGCTTACATTGGCTTTCACAATCAAAAAGAGTGTTGCAAAATGATAGTGGACAATGTTCTCACTGAAGATCCATTTTAAAGGTCCTTCCTGATCCCATTGGAATGTAATCATTTTGACTCAGTCTAACCAAACCAAAGTAGCAGATAATGCCCTGCAATAGCTTTCAGCTGAGTAACTGGAGACATGATAAACACCTGGCTTCAGAAGTTAATAAAAAGCTTGTATTAGCAGCTTTGCTGATCTCTGTTATCAAGGATATATGTGGCTTTGCATGATCATGTCAATGTTCTAAACAAACAGTGATATGGGCAAGTCCAGACATCTCATGCAAAACAGAGACTCCTTGTGCAACTACCCACAAGATTAACGATTTGTTTTAAAGCTGGAAGCTCATATTATTTGAGGGAGCTAACCTCTTTAAAGCAATTATCAAATGCCTTATTTGTTTTGGACTCCAGAAACAGAGAGAAAAACAATTAAAATCAAATAAAAGTATCAAGTAAGGACTCTCAAATTGTTGCAATAAGCAGGTGACTTCAGTACATATTAATCAAGAAATTATTGGATCTCACTAACATCAGCTCTGACTTGCTGACTTCCCAAGGCAGCTCTGAGGCCACTGTGGTAGAGGCTTCTTCATTGTAAGCCTGTGTGTATTTGTAGCTCCAAATCTTTTTGCTTTAACTCTATAAAGTTAGGAATAAATCGTACTGAGTGGGTTGTGATTTTTTTCTTGTAACTTCTGGGAACTCTGTTCATTCTTGCTTTCACATTTTCTCAGCATATCACAGAATAATAAGAGAGTTCTCCCTTACTTTCCATGTCCTTTCCTTCCCCTATATCTTCCCTCTTTTTTGCTGCAAGTTCCCTGATAACTTTTCTCTTTCCACATCCTCTGTCAACATGAAATTCCAACTTCCCATAGCTCCATTCTTGTACCTCCTCTATGTGTTCTTTAAAAAACCAAAAATACAAGCATCTTTCCAAAACTTAGAGGACTTGAAGGTTTTTTTAAGAAACGATTTGGTGATGTCCATGCTTTTGTTTTAAGCAGGACTATACACATATTATTGCAATTAGATGAAGAGCTATTCTGTTTTAAACAATCTACAGAGGAGGCAATTCTAGTTTATTCTCATTGATGCTCGCTGCTTATCCAATCCATGTTCTCATCCCTGGAAATGGGGTATATTTCCTAATTTCCTTTGCAGTTAAAGTGTCCTTGTGACTGAGCATTAGCCAGGGACCATGAATAGAAAAAGTCCCACTCATAGAGCTGGGCCATACACATTTTTCATAAATAGACCTCCACACTCCTCCTCTTCACTCTGACTGGCATAGAGAAGAGTCCCAGAATGACGCTGAAAAACATCTGTTGAAGGCAACAAAGCTTCCATCATTCTGTACTTCTGAATGATTGTGTGGAAAAGTGTCAATCAACCTTTCTTCACCCATCTAGTAAGCATGAGTAACAAATACATCTATATTGCTTTCAGGTCAGAATATGTTTCTGCCTTATTTGTAATAAAAACTAGCATTATTCTAACTAATACAACAGCAGCTTAACATTAAAACTGTCGTTCTGTGAGGCACGTGTAGCATTTCATTCCACTGACCCAAGCTTATGAAATCAACACTCTTTCTATGACATGTCTTGGAAATCTTTGGTGATAGTATAAAAGGCTTTTTGGCTTTCTTTCCTTTCTTGTTATCTTAAATTCACTTTTATTTTACATATAAGAATTAAGGTCTATACAGAATTCATGATTTTCTTATCAAATTTCTCCATTCAGTTTGCATTTCACTACTACTATCACTATTATTTTCTTTCTAGACTTTTTCAGCCACAATTTAAAATTTCATACATAATTAAAATGTCTGTTTCCTCTTTCATATGTAAGAATTGGCTAAGAAAAAGTATAAAGAGCAATTTTTTAAAAATTTGGAATCTCAAGTGTATATACTACATGATTTTATATTGAAAAATTAGCCCACTTTTTGACTTGGCAAAAACACAACTAGCATTTCACTTTACACAATATCTTGTTTTTAGAATTACAATATTAGGTCTTCTTTTCCAAACACAAAATATCTCAAGGCTGCCTTCTTTTACTCTTCGGTGGCAGGTGCATCAAGAACATGTTATTATTTTAGGGTTTTCTTATAATAGTAAAATATGTTTGATATTTTATCAGGCCATTCTTCCATTGCTGTAAAGAAATGCCTGAGACTGGGTAACTTAGAAAGAAAAGTGATTTAATTGATTCATGATTGTACAGGTTGTATAGAAAGTGTGGCACTGGCATCTGCTGAGGAAGCTTCAGGGAGCTTTTACCCATGCAGAAGGCCAAGTGAGAGCTTGCACATCATATGGCAAAGGCAGCAGCAAGAGTTGGGGGGCAGGTGCCACACACATTTAAACAACAAGGTCTTGCAATAACTCATTCACTGCTGTGAGGATAACACCAAACCATGAGGGATCCGCCCACATGACCCACCACCTCCCCAGAAGGGGCCACCTCCACCATTGGGGGATGACATTTCAATATGAAATTTTGGGAGATAACTATCCAAACCATATCAGATATAAGGAGTCAAACAATACACAATTCAATAAAATAGAAGTAAAATTTGACTTTCTTTCCTGAGACTGAGTTTATGTAAAGTCTAATGCCAACTGCTCAAAAAAACATGAGCTACTAGATTACGTGTAACAGATATTGAAATAAGGTGTGGTAAACAAAGACAGTTCCCTATTGAAAATAAAGTGTCCACATCCTTCAAGGACCATGTCAAAGAAAATCTGATTCTTAACATGAGACTGGATATTTGTCCTCACATGGGAGAGAGATCAACTAGATTAGAATGCTACTGCCCAAAAGAGATATAAGAGGAGAACTGGGGGCGGCAATGGGGTCTTTGTTTAGGGTTAGAAGCATTCACAAACAGAGATAAGAACTGCTGTGATGCCTGTGCTATGTGTGAGAAGGGGACCTCAAACCTTGCTCCAAGGTTGGAGATTGCTAAAAGGATGGTTTCATATTCGGGAAGGAAAACTAAAAGGGCTGCCTCCTGAAAGGAAAGGAAAATAGATCCCATTTGTGTTTGCAGGCCCAGTGTTGGGAAGATAAGGTACAAAAATTTGGTGACTGCATCATATAATGATTCTCTCCAACATGGGGCAAAGGGATGTGTGTATCAGAAGAGTGCAAGTGCCATGCACTCAGCTGGGATCAGTTTGAATGTGTAACCCAGTCTCAAAGAGTTGGGTGGTGCCTTGAAATTGCTTTGAGATTGTATTATGTCACTAGAGCCTGTTAGACCTCACTTACCTGAGACCTAGACAAAGACCTAGGTCAGTCGTGATGACCAACAGAAATGGGATGGCAAATTCATGACCACCAATATAGTTCACATAAAAGACACAAATTGAAATGCAGAAGCAAACATTTAACTTTAAATGGAAGGCCCTCTTCTGGCACCAAAATGAGACTATTAGCCACAGAGGAGGGGTGGGGCGAGCAATAGGAGACCAAGTTCTTGATGTTTTTTCCTACCTCCCAATGTCCTTCACACACAGAAATTGGCAATGGAGCCACATCTTTAGTCTTGAGGGGAAAGGGCAATGGTGTGCTGTAAATGTTTAACAACTGGTTCTCTAGGGGGAAAATGTGACTTGTAATGTTTGATGATTGCCATAGTGTAAATATTCCCATAAAGGCCAGTATCAAGCTCCAACAGCACATCACTGAACTTTGAGTTGGGAAGAGATGTACACACTAGGCTCTTGTGAGCTGTCTCAGGCTGGCTTCATCACATTATCAGGACATGTGAGAGCTGTGGGCATAATATGAGAAGATTATGTAATGAAAAATTTTAAGAATTAGTAAAAATGAGATCATTTTATTAATTGAAAAGTTATAGCATCATATTGAGGAGTTTTCAAAGTTTCTGATAGATGTCCAGTGGGAGAGAGGATTAGATACAACACAATTGGTAGCAGTTATCAAAAAAATAAAAGTTGTTTGATGTTTCTAACTTAACAGGTGGGGATTTTTAATCAACCTGGTCATAGAATTCTTGGATACACAGTCAAGCAGTAAATCAAGAGAAGAAATTTGCCAAAGAGGCAGCTCAAAGGTAGCATAGTGGGAGCTAGAGGTAAATGAGTTAAAGTTTCAGTGTATAAGTCTTTAACCTCCTTGGTTTAGTTTATACCTAAGCATATTTTATATGAAATTGTTTTCTTAATTTACTTTTTAGGTGTTCATTGTTAATATACAGAAATAGGACTGATTTTTATTTGCAGATTTTGTATCCTCTAACATTACTGAATTCACTTATTCATTCTAATAGTTGTTTTTTTTGTGTGTGTGTGTGTGTATTAAGTCTTTATGTCACCTACAAACAGAGCTCATTTGACTTCTTCCTTCTTGGGTAGTTGCCAGGGGCTGGGGGGAGGAAGAAAGGCAGAGCTGTTTAATGGAATAAAGTTTTAGATGAATAAGTTCTAGAGATACAACACACAAATAGTGCCTATAGTTAACAATATTCTAATATGAACTTAAACATTTGTTAAGAAGGACCAATAATACTGAAGAAAGAACCCAGAAATAAATTAATCTATAGTCAGTTGATCATTGACAAAGGTACCAAGAACATGCAACAGGGAAAGGATAGTCTCTTCAACAAATGCTGAGGAAACTGAATATCCACATGCGGAAGAATGTAATTGGACCCTTAATTCAAACTATGTACAAAAATCAACTCAAAGTGGATTAAAGACTTAAACATTAGATCTGAAACTATAAAACTACTAGAAGAAAATAGAGAAAAAGCTTCTTGACATTGGTCTAGGCAATAATGTTTTGGATATGACCCAAAATCACAAGTAACAAGGCAAAAATAGACAAACGAGATTGAATCAAATTAAAAAGCTTCTCCATAGCAAATGAAACAATAAACAAAGTAAAGAGACATCTGCAGAGTAGGAGAAAGTACTTGCAAACCATATTTCTGATAAAAAGCTAATGTCCAAAATACATAAGGAACTCAAATCACTCAATTGTAAGGAAACAAACAACGTGATTAAAAAGTGTACAAAAGACTAGAAAAGATGTTTCTCAAAAAGCAATATATAATGGCCAACGCATATATGAATCACTCATATTAGCTCAGCATCACTAATTATCAGGGAAATGCAAATTAAAATATGAGATATCTTTTTGCACCTGCTAGAAAGCTATTATCAAAAAGACAAAGAATAAGAAGTGTTGGTGAGGATGTGGAGAAAAGGGAACACTTGTCCACTTTTCATGGGTAAATTAATACAGCTATTATAGAAAACAGCATGGAGGTTCCTCAAAAAAATTAAAAATAGAGTCACCATATTATCTAGCAATTTCACTTCTAGGAATACATCCAAAAGAAATGAAATTATTACATTGAAGTTCACTCCCAAGTTCATTGTGCTATTTTTCAAAATAGCTATGCTATGGAATGAACTCAAGTGTCCACTGATGGATGAATGAATAAAGATGTGGTATAAACATACAGTGGAATACAAATCAGTCTTATGAAAAGAAAAGCCTGCAATTTGTGACAACATGGATAAACTTGGAAGACATTTTGCTAAGTGAAATAAGCCAGGCACGGAAAGACCAACATTAAAAGATTTCACTTACATGTGGAGTCTAAAAAAACCAAACTCATAGAAGCAGAAAGTAGAATGGTGGTTGCTAGGGGTAAGGCAGAGGAGGGACAATGAGAACATGATGGACAAAGGGGGTGCAAACTTTCAGCTAAATGGATGAATAAGTTTTAAAGAACTATTGCACAGCATGGTGACTAGAGTTAACGATAATATATTACACACTTGAAAATTGTTAAGAGAGGGGATCTTACAACCAAAACGTGATATGTGAAGGGATAGATATTTTAATTAGCTTAAATCAATTATTTCGCTATACACACACACGCACACACACACACACATATGCACAGAGCACATTGTCACTGTAATTTCTATTTGTCAAATATACCTTAATAAAACCAGGAGAAATTGTTAAGAGGATAAAACTCATGTTAAGTGTTCTCACAACACCAAAAAGCAGAGAAAAACAAAACAAAACAACAAACGAGAGGCACAAGACAACTTTCGGAGGTAATGACTATTTGTGTTTCTTTGATTATGGTGATGATTTCATGGGTGTATACCTGTGTCCAAACTGATCAAATTGTATCTATTAAATGTGCAGCTTTTTTGTGTATCAATTATACCTCAATAAAGCTTTTTTTTAAAAAAAATTGACTAATGGTTGGAATATATTCTTAACGGCTGTGGCGGGGGTTCTACTTCTCATAGGTAATATTGGTTTGGGGTCCAGCCACAAACTCTTTGCATGTGAGAATGATCAAATCTAAAAATAGCTATTCATAACTCGATGAAAGGAGCAATAGAAAATCCCCCTCCTCCCAGCCTGGAAGGAGGTAAAGAAATATGCTGTCAGCTTGAAATCTTTGGAAGAAAAAAAACCAAGCCATGAAAAATAATGTCTAAGCTTAGGCTCTTCACATTAAAACTAATACACAGCTGGTGCCCTCCCAGGGGCTAAGTGAGGCAAAGCAAAATCAACTGTGGAGAAAAATGTGCACAGTTCAGGGCATACAAACTTTCCACCAAATATAAGCCCTCTTGGGATAGATCTTACAGACATCTCAAAACACTCAAGGAAATGAATCACTGAGGAATAAATAGCAGATGACAAATGGAAGCAACTGCACCTTCAAGAACTGAAAAAAAATTAAACATTATAAGAGAAACTTTAAGAAAAATGTAAATGTTTGATAAGACAAAGGAAGGTATAGAACAAATAAGAAAAGAAAAACATGAGAACAGAAAACTTGGATTTTGTAAAGATTCAAATGGAACTTCTGGAGTCAAATTAGTTACTGAATTTAAAAAAACTCAGTGAGTGTGTTAATTAGTAGATTAGACATAGATAACTATGTAATTGGAAGATAGATTTGAGAAAATTATCCAGAAGGCAGTGTAAAAAGAAATAAATAGAAAATATGAAGTGTCCAGAGACACGTAGTATAGAATGAGAAGATTCAAACAGCACATAGAAGTTCTAGAGAGCAAATATAGAAAGAGGAGCAGATGGACAATGAATAGCAGAACGAACAGATAATTTCCAGGGGTACAGGATATAATGCCTAAAAGACTGGTTCTGTCTTCTTCATTTATCACCTTTCTCTCTGCTATGGTGACTGCGCTAATTCCCACGATGATAAATACTATCTTTATGATGGTAGCTCAAAAATGTGTATCTTTGATCCAGACTTCTATTTCGAATTCCAGACTCATATATATGCACTTGATTATATTCATGTATATATTTCACAGGCATCTAAGAATGAGCTTGTTGAAACCTGAATGTTTTATGTTTCTAAATCCATGTTTCTATGTCAGTAAACCATCATCTCTATTCACTCAAATGCTAAAGAGAGGTATCCAGGAATCATTTTTGACACCTTCCTCTCTCTTTTGGCCCTAATCCAATCCTTCACCAAATTCTGTTAACTGAACCTCCAGAAAGCTCTGATACCATCACCTTAGTCCTCTACCACGGCGTGTCCCCTAAATTTTATGATAGTTTCTTAATTAATCCTCCCATTTTCACTCTTGCTGTCCTCCAATTGACTCATCACTTAGGAGTCAAAAAGGATGTTTTAAAAACAAAAGTAAATGATGTCACTCTCCAGCTTACAATTCTCCATTGGTTTCTCTCTTTCTTCTAAAAATTCAAGCTCCTTTGCATAGTTAGGGTAGGCACAACAATGTCCCCCATCCAAAGATTTAGAACCTGTGAATATGTAAGGTCACATGGCAAAAGTGAATGAAGGCTTCAGATGAAATTAAGTTGTTAAATTGGCTGACCTTAAAATGAGGAGAGAATCCTGGATTATCCAGGTAGGCCTAATGTAATCACAAGGATCCTCAGAAGTGTAAGAGGTGAACAGCAGAGACAGTGAGGGATTGTAAGAAAGACTAAACTGACTTACCATTGCTGGTTGCAAGGACGGAACGGGGTTAGGAGCAAAAAAAATGGCAGGCAGAAAAGGCATTCATCACCTCTAGGCTTTTAGAAAGTCCTGCCAATATTCGAATTCCAGCCTGGAGAGACCCGTTTTGTACTTCTGACTTCCAAAACTGTAGGATCATAACTTCATGGGTTTTTTTGTTTGTTTTTTGTTTTCTTTGATTTTGTTTTTGAGACAGAGTCTTGCTCTGTCACCAGGCGCCAGGCTGGAGTGCAGTGGCTCAATCTTGGCTCACTGCAATCTCTGCCTCCTGGGTTCAAGCAATTCTCCTGCCTCAGCCTCCTGAGTAGCTGGGACTACAGGCATGCGCCACCACGCCCAGCTGATTTTTGTATTTTTTACTAGAGATGGGGTTTCACCATGTTGGCCAGGATGGTCTCGATCTCTTGACCTCGAGATCTGCCCGCCTCAGCCTCCCAAAGTGCTGGGATTACAGGCATGAGCAACCTAGCCCAGCCAACTTTATGTTGTTTTAAGCCACAAAGTTTCTGGTAATTTGTTACAACAATAGAAAGTGATACCACAGCTTGCAGGAGTCTGCAGCATTTGGCCATTGTTCCCCTCTTCAGTCCCCCTGGGGCACTCCCCTGCTCACTGTGCTCTGGCCACCCTGCCCTTCCTTCTGCCCCCTATGCTGAGCTCTTGGCCAGGATTAGAGCCTTCTTATCTCCCTTTCCCTCTGCTTGAAGTACACTTCACCTGGTGTCTTTGTTCATGTTCTCCCAGAAGTAAACCCTGATGTAAGTATTTCAATTCAAGTTATTCATTTGGAAGGTTGTCTCAGAAACACAGGTAGGGGAATAGGAGACTGGGTCAGGGGAAAACAAATAGCCAATAAGGAAACACTAATGAGGCTGTCACCGCTATGGATAGCTGGAGTTTACTTTGGCTGGGGAACTCTGCAAGACAGCATAGACCAGCTCTATTTGGAATATCACTGTATACACAGCACCTATTTTATGCACTTAATAGATATTCATTGCGTGAATAAATAGAGAATAAATTAATAAACCAGCTAGCACAAGAATAGTGCTCACTATGTGCTATCTGGAACGTGATGAACTTTAATACATTTATGCTGCTTTGCTATATTTGCAAATTTGTTAATTCTGAGGTCATTTTTTTCAATATATGCTATATAGCCTCAACATAGTCACTAAGACTATTTAATTATAATGCATTGATGCCAACTGAATTTGTAATATTCACCGCAAGAGAAGAAGTGGAAATGAAAGAGCCTCTATGATCACTTGGAAAATCTTTCAGTATACACAGAGGTTGGAAAATGAGGATATACTAAGCTGGAGGGAAGGGGTGTATGTTCAACGGAAAAATTCCCTGAGTGATTTTGATATGTGCCTTCTCCTTATGAAAATGACACGAAACAAGCCAAATCATTCTCATAATTTCATTATTCATTTCAAGCAATTATTGCTTTGATTTTAGTTTTCAAATAATGACCTCTTCTGGACATGAAGCACTTGCCATCACCCTTCCAGTTTGAAATTCTTTTTTGTAGCATTTAAGCTTTTGATCTTATAAAAGCATCTACCATTTTTTATTCCATAAAAGCAGTTTGTTAAAATCATAAACTAAAGTGTTAAAGTGTCATTCTGTTCGAAGTCTCACAGATACTGTGTGGCCTGTGGCTTCTGCTCATAGAATCATTCAAGTAATGGTACTTGAGTATTTATTTTATTCATGCTAGGAATCAAAGAATACCAAATAACAACTATACTGAATAACAGTAGAGAAACAAAGATTCATTCTGTGTTTTAGTTCTGTATGAGATCTGTGCTTTTGGGGAGGGGGCAGATAATAAGAATGAATGGAATGAATTCTTCAGGCTGTTCCTTACACAGGAAGCACTGTCATAATGGGTCCCCATTAACTACAGGAGTATACTGTATCTTTTAGGTATGTTGGGATGGACATAAAAATGAGACCTACTTTGTTAAGTCACGCCAAGATTAGTGTTTTTAGCTTAGTAGTGCATTGTATAACACTAGTCTGACTTGTAATGTGTTCAATAGAAAACCAAAAAATTATACTTTGTCCTCTAACATACAATCTTTGCAAAGGAAAAAAAAAACAAGCTACAAATAACATAGGCCATTTAGAAAGATGGCCTTGAGGTCCTCAAGAGATGGGGTGAATATCTCTGTCAGTTTGATGTTTGCCCACTACAGTCCTATGGCAAACTTTGAGCTAGTTTTTTAATGGTTTGAATTGAGACATAAAAAATGATAAACTCTTCCTCTTCTTGGAGTCTGTGGCAGATCAGGGATCATGAAAAGTTTATGTAAATAAATGTGCCACTCGCTATTAAAGGGGATTCTGGATTCCTCAGAGTTCATTTAAATTTGAAAATATATTAGAAGCCGTAGCAAGAACTTTAGCTATTGAGGTCCCAGCATACTTTAATTATTGAATGGCTTTCATTAAAGAAAGAGAAGGTAGACCTCCATCTTCCATAAAGCAATAGACTGGCCTAAATGAAAACGAAGGCCTTACAAAAAAGTAAGGACCATTTTGGTTGCTAAGGTGGCGACAGAAGGCTACTGGGCCATGTGGTAGTGAGCTCAAGTGGTCTAAGGTGGCTCAGCGCTCAAGAGTGGAAATATTTGTGAATGTCTAATGATAAACTAGAGAGAGAGAGAGAAAGGCATATGTTACTAGGTACCAGTTCTCTTAGGAGCTAATGTGGAAACTACAGAGAAACCTTTTAGTGGAGTGACTCAAACTATATTGATGCCTTCTGATCATCAAGGTTGTCTGTTTACTGGGGCTGCTGATCTCTTAACAGCATGGTAAAGAGCAAGTAATACAGGAAGGAAAGAAGCTGCTCTGTCAGAGCAAAGGATAGGGAGAGAATTGGTAGGGAAAGGCAAAAGGCAATTAGATATCAGAAGCCTTCTCATTGCTTGCTAGCAATTAGAGGAACACACGTTTTGCACACTTAGACTTACTGATATTCATATTTCCAGGTCAATTTGAGTGACAGAATTTCTGGTCTGTAGAATACATTCCTCTAGGTGTACCCCAGTGAAAAAGAAGTTTGCTACAACGGCATTTCTTTTTCTCTCATCTGGTTTAGAACTGGTGATTCAAGAAAAGGAATAACGACTATGCTTTCAGGGATCATTTCTCTCATTACTAGAGAAGTTCCTCTGAACGTGTAGAGCAATGGAACCCATGAGGAAGACAGGCAGTATTCTGTCCTGAGTGTGAAGCTGGCTCTTGGTGTTGCTTTGCTGCAACTACCACTTGCCACGGATGACCGTTTTCGTCTTCCTCTGGGACAGTAAGGGAAAGGATGCAGTCTGAAAGCTTATCGTTGAAAGCAAGAAAGAAAGAGAGAGAAGAAAGGAAGAGACAGAAACAAAGAAGAAAGAGAGTCAGAAAGATAAGAAAGAAAGGAATGAAGAAAGAAAGAAAAGGAAGAAAGAAAGAAAAGAAAAGAAAGAAAACTACCAGACTTTTCAGTGTTAGAGCCCAGTTACTAATATCCCATTCCTACCAGTCTCTGAAATCACTTTCCCTGGATGTCTTCCTGAGTACAGTGGATACTGTACCCGCTGACAGTTATTCTGCAAAGATAAGAAAGGTGTGACATAAAAGAATCCTGACTGCCTGAAGCCCCTGAGAGCCTGTCTCTGCTGGTAAGTAATGCATTCCTGATATACTTAATTAACTAATACCATTAAGTATTACTAATTAATATATTGATATAATTTTGGTTATCAACAAAAAATCTCTGCTGGTTTAATATAGAGATGATCGATGTGATTTGTCTCTTTAGAAAGCTCTCTGGAAGAAGCATAAACCCATGAGGTCTAGAGGGAGTGGATAAAATGGCCAGAGTGGTGAACATGACAACAGAGTTAAGATAATCAGCTGCATCTGAAGAAGTCCCCAAGCAGAAAAGGATCTAGCAGAACAGGCTGATATTTTTAAAAAGTTGGCTGATCCTTAACTCATTCTGTTAGACATTTCTCTTTGGAATAGACTGGAGTCTCTTGGGCAGAGGTGTAAGCAAGGCAGGAAGGGATGGGCATGATGTGGGTAAAAGGGGAGAATCCCAGCCAGACGCGGTGGCTTACCCCTGTAATCCCAGCATTTTGGGAGTCCAAGGCGGGTGGATCACGAGACCAAGAGATCAGGACCATCCTGGGCAACATGGTGAAACCTATCTCTACTAAAAATACAAAAAATTAGGTAGGCGTGGTGACGTGTGACTAGTCCCAGCTACTTGGGAGGCTGACACAGGAGAATCTCTTGAACCCAAGAGCAGAGGTTGCAGTGAGCTGAGATAGTGCCGTTGTACTCCAGCCTGGTGAAACTCTGTTAAAAAAGAAAAGTGGGCAATCCCTTCTCATAGTCTCCCTTCCTGAGAGAGTTGCAATAATTCCGTGATGCTTCCCAGTTCTCATAAGAATATTAGACAGCACTTACCTTGCCTGCAGCCCCTGCTTGCTTTGAGCTTTGCATGTCTCTTGAAACCATTGCCATGGCTGGTTAAACTAAATGTCAGTCATCGTTTTCCACCTGCCCTGCTATCTGCTGTTCTCTGCCAATGCCTCTTCCACCTGGAGCTCTTAGATTCCTACTCAGGAGAGAAAACAGAGGCAGAGAGAGAGAGAGAGAGAGAGAGAGAGAGAGAGAGAGAGAGAGAGAGAGAGAGAGAGAGAGGAAGAGGAGGTGTTCTTATTTGCCCTACTTCTGTTTACTTCAACATCTTTTTAAATGTGGCTTTCAACTCTTTCCTTGAGCTAGATGCCTATGTAAATGTTTAGGAACCAAAGCGCCTCCTGTGACTCTCTTCTATGTGGAATTTCCCTTCGTGAATAGTTGTAGCAATCGCTGATAGATGTGTATTCCAGCGAAGGGAGATGGATAGTGATTTGTAGAAACGGCCTTGAGCAAGAAATTACAAGACCGATTTTCCATCACAGCTCTGCCATGTGACTCAACTTCAGCTTTGGTCTATTTAATGGTTCAATAAATATTCATTGAGCACCTATGACACTGTAGGCACCAAGCTGCAGTATTCTCATCTAACTAAGGATAGTAAAACAGGCAATTAAAGGGGCTTTATAGGATAATCTTTGTAACCTCAATTTTGTTACAAGTCTATGAAAAAAATCAGTCAAATATAAACTAGAAGAAATAAAGTCTCAAACTCTCCATTTCTGAGTCTAGGAAACTATTCAAGTCATGTGTTGACTAGATGTGTGTAACTAAACTATGGTTTGTGAAATACCAGGTAAGAAAATTTCCCTGGTTAAGAGCAAGAATCACCTGACAACAAGACAATGTTTCATGCCTTCATGAAAGCCAGGGTGTGGCACAGAGTCCTGGTCTATCAAACAGGAAACTCAACTTCTATTAAAGAGAGGGAACTTCTTGTGACTGATTGATTGCCTAACCAACTGGGCTTACATGTCGTATTGTTTATTTACCATCTCTACTCTTCACTGGGAGCACAAAATTTAGCTCAATTAATTCCAAGACCTACAGACAAAACTCTCCAATTAGGAGGATACAGACTTAGCATGTGCCACAAAACTGCAGCGACTAGGAAGTAGATGTTCTGAGATATTCAATCACCAGAAAGGCTTATTGATGTGATTAGGGCTGCTTTTAGTTATTTCTTTTGCTGTTACAGAATGAATTATGGGAACAATCAGCTGGAAGAGCACATCTTTCCTCTATGGTTGCAATAACAAGAAGTGGGAGAAGGAGAAGGAAAAGAAGAAAGAGGAGGAAGGAGAGGAAGAGGAAGAGGAGAAGAAAAAGTGCCACCACCACTGCACCGCCAGCCTGGTGAATCAGACAAAAGAGAAACTTCCAATAGGTTGACATGAAAGAAAGGTGTCATTTAGGATCAATATCCTAGGTGTATATTTAAGTGCTTTACAGATGCGCTGTTGAGTCCACTGCTTTTTGTTGAAAGAATTAAAACCTAGCAATGTTTCCGGACTCCTTTCTGACTTGACTCTGACACATACTATCATGTGTGAATGGATTACTCATTTATTCTCTTTGGATCTCAGTTTTCTCATCTAAAGATAGAGAGAGAAAGTTGGCCTCTATTGGTAATTTTCCTTTGTGACTATTGCATTTTTGGCTTTGTTAAAATAAAGCTGACAAAATCAGACACTGATAGAATTCCATCACTGGGCTCGCTTTAAAGAATAAATGAGATGACATGGGGAAAGTTCTTGCACTTGGCATCTAGGAATTGATTGATGAAGTAAGACCACTGGGCTGTGCTTGCTTCTCCTCTGATGCCCATGACATGATCACCCCATGTGTTCTCTCACATACTAAATCAATGTTTTAAGTACGTGTCTGAAGGTCAGTGAGGCACCTAGTTCCCCTCTGCAAATATCTGTGTGGAATGTTGGCTGGGGAGAGGCAGAAGTAAGAAGTTGCCTCTCTGGTCATTTCTCATGAAATGTTCTGATATCATTGGATTCTCAGTCTCTGCTCTGTGTATCTGCCTCCTCACTGCTGCCCTGCGTGTGAACTTGTGAATTTTCCTTGAAATGGAAACTGCACCCATTGCTTTCCTCACACATGCGCATGATACCTAAACACTCCATTCCTTTTCCCCCTTGAGTTCCATGAGTACAAAGCAATTGAACAAAGGAGGTTTTCAATGGAAGGTTTGGGCGAATGGAGGGAAATATCCACGTACATTAGCACAACATGGGCACTAATTTAAGATGGAATATTAAACAATATTGCTCTAAATCCACAGCGTTGGGAATGTCTCCTAGGTAGGTTCTGATCCGGCTGGGTTTGTCTCCTTAGACCTTTCTCTCTCCCTTACTGCCTTAGCCTTCAAACTTCCAAATTTCTCATGAATTAGAGTTTCATTTTCTACCCCCTACTCTATTGAGCTTAGATGATCTACTAGATAAGAACCAGCTGTGCCATGCCTCCATAGCACAAAACACAGGGAGAAGCTTTGAAATTATAGTTTCTCCTTCAATGGGATTACATTTTTAGGCTGAGCTCCCATCTCTAGACAATTTAGGGAAGAGGGAAAGGTACAAAGGTATAAAACCAGTATAAGTCCTCTCCCTACTTCGAGAGAACTATTCCAGCGTATGACTTTCTCTTCTACTTCCCAGTATAAATATTATCATTGTCCATTTTATTGTTGTATTATCAATCCTGCTGACACCCAACACTTAGATTAACAGTGCGCTGTTCTTTTGAAACAAGAAATGGAGACCCTGCAGCCCTACACGCTTGTTCCTCAGTCTAACTTCTCATGTTCCAGGCTGTCCCATGGGTATTTCAGTATGACCAAAAGAGCAGTTCTTCTTAAACCATGTGAGGAAGTAACACTTACATTTTTTTTTAAATTTCTCAAGGATTGACGATTTTGTAAAATCAAAATAGATTACCAGAAAATAAAATTAAAAACAAAAGACATGCAAATTCAATTCCCAGGTTTTTATAAATTGATTATGAGATGCAAAAGGTAAAATAACTGTCAAATTGCTGGTATAGATTTCTAAATGCATACTCTTCATTTCTGTGCTCATGTTGATGCAGCTGGGTTAACAATGGTTCGTAGGATTGGTTGATTTCCGAGTGTACATACAGCTCGAAAACTGTGGCAATTCTCTTATGAAATCTTAATATTCTCAGGTCTGACATGTAGGAACAGAACCACAGTAGGTGTGGACATGCAAGCTAAAGGGAATTTAGTTGTGAAGCATCTTTCCAGCTTGCCAAGTTGTTACGAATTTATTTCCCACATTAAGCATGGTGATGTGACATTGATGTACAATACCAGTGGCTCTTAGGCAGCACAGAAGTTAGATGACATTATTTCAATTCTTGCTAAAATGGTTTATTTCCCAGCGCATGTTGGGTTTTGTTTAATGTATTCTGGGCCCTGAGGCTAGGATCCTGTAATAATTTAGCATAACCAGATTGGTTTGTATGGAATTCAGTTATTTTTTACTTTTTTATTTCTTGAAAGCTGAGTAATTTTGAAAATAATACAGAGTATAAAAAACAGGCCAGGTGTGGTGGCTCATGCCTGTAATCCCAGTACTTGGGGAGGCCGAGGCAAGAGGATCACTTGAGGCCAAGATTTCAAGACCAGCCTAGGAAACAAAGTGAGACCCAATCTCTACAAAATAAAACAAAACAGAACAGAACAAAACAAAAATCGGCAGGGCATGGTCATATGCCTGTAGCGATAGTTACTTGGGAGGCTGAGGCAGGAGGTTGAAGCTGCAGTGAGCTATGACCATGTGCCACTGCACTCTAGCCTGGGCAACAGAGCAAAATCATCTCTTTTAAGCAAACAAACAAAAAAATTAACTTAACAAAACACAGAAAAAAACTACAGCTACTTCTAGTAAATCTTCCGCATAAATCAACTATTTCCAAAAACTTAAACAAGAGAGTATCTTAACCTTAAGAATTCTGGCATTAAACAGACTGTTGAGAGCTTTCTTCCCACCTGTGTATTTGCTGGCAGCAAGTGCTAGGATGGGAGGTGTAGGGCAGGGACTAACATTTCTGTTCTTCAGTGGGCATTAAATTCTGCAGGGAGTCTGTGGAGGCTTTTCTTGTGGGACCATCTCATCTTCCAAACTTTACCTCTTCCTTGCTCTTCAGTTTCTACTCGCAGATTTACCAGTGGTAGAAGAGTTGGAAGAAGTGAGAAAGATCTGGTTCAATTAAGACTGAGTGGAGCATTGACACATTTCAATTCTTTCCTTTTTAAAAATTCACTTTGAATTCAATTTAACTGTCTAGCTTAGGTTTTCATTTTTAAAATGGACTTGGGGGCACGTGACTCCTAACTTCATTATAAATACTTTTAGACTTGCAATAATTTTATCCCATATTAGACTTCTTTAGCTTAGCTGAGAAACATAAATCTGGTTTGTTCCTAACAACTCGTGTTTTGTAATGCTCCACAAAAGACCTTCTGATGAAGCAGCTCAGGTTTAAGGAAAAGCCCTCTTCCCCAGGATTGCAGTTCCTGCAGTTCATCAGGTCTGCAGAAAAACTCAGACATTTCAGTTGTGGATCAAAACTTAACATGTAGACTTCAACCGTTCTTTTACCATTCTTTGCATCTTCTCAAGTGACCCATGTCTTTCTTAAACATGGTGCTTCAGATTAGACTCTCTATGCCTGTCAGGTTCAGTTTAGTTCCCATTTGTTGGCTCCCACTGGGTGCTAGATGTTGTGTTAGGCAGTGACAATATGAATTTGTCCCTTTCCTTGTGGATTTCATGGAACTTCATCTGTTTGTTAATTTTTATCATTAAAGTTCTTATTCATGTCTGTAAAATACATAAGTAATTCTCACCAAAAATATATTTTTAAAAATTCATTGTTATTTTTGCCTATTTTTATTAATGATCTTAAAATACCAGAAGTTTAAATGATAATATCTTATTTAAGACAACTTTCTTGTTTCACATAGACTGGGTAGGGCACTTCTCTTTTGCACGTTCATAGCACTATGCTCAAATATAACATAGTGTATTTGCATATCTTTATAAATAACCTCTTTCTCTGGCATCCTTACTAGACTATGAGCTTTCTGAAGATAGGGCCTGTGTCTTAGCCATCACTGACTCTTCAGAACCTAGAACATTTCCAAGCACACAGCAAGGCTCTTTAAATTTTTACTGAAATACTAAATAAATAAAAGAAAGAAAAGAGAAACTTCATTTATTTGGTCTTCAAATAACTCATGGCTAAGCTGCCATTGAAAATAGGACCTTTATAAAGTCTGGCTATGTATCCATTCAACTGCCAGGAGTTTCATGTTGATTTAATATGAAGAATCAAAGAGCTCTTTGAGACCAGCATCTCTCCTAACTCACCTTCAACATGAGTTTCTTGGCTTTGAACATATGATTGCAGCAATGCAGCTGTGACAAAGTGCACACAGCATTAACATAAATCAATTTAAGCCCCCACCCCCATGCCACCCCACTGAAGCAGTTTTCTGTTATATTTGAGACACCAAATATATAGAGTCACTTCCTGGCTCTATCGTATGTTACTTGCATGACCTTGGGAAAACAGCAATCATTTTGAGCCAGTTTCTTCATCTGGAAAATGGATAACAGTAGTTACTATATGGTGCTGTTGTGGGTGATGTTGAAAGATACACTTAGGCACATTAACATTTTAAAGAGTTTATTTAAGCAGGTAGTGATTTATGAATTGGGCAGCACCATATCACAAGGAGTTTAGGGCACCACTGAGAGGACCCTAGGGGAAACATTTTGTAGGGTGGTCTTGGGAGTCAGACAGAGAGAACATCCAATTGGTTAAAGATGGAAAGTCCCTAGTTAGAGGTTAGTCGGCAGTTTCGGATCCTTAATATTGCTGTTACAATTGTGGTTATATGTTGATTTTGCTTAAAAAATTAGATGATAGCACATTTGAACTTACGCTTAGTGGTTAAGCTTACGTTTCCTTTTCCTAGCTATGACCGTTCACACTGGGTTGGCTTTCAGTTACTTATGTTGGAACCCAAAGCATGGGAGCCCTCTCAGACTAATAGCCCCCCAATTATTATTATTTTTGACAGTAGTTAGAAGTTTGTATTTATAAAATGCTTAAAACACAGTCTTGCACATAAGTGCTCAATTAATGTTAGCCATTGTGAAATAAGATGTTTACATTGTTCTATAAAGGCATTTATTTTGCAATTACTAAATGTCAAAGGAAACACTTTCTGGAATTTGTTCTTCACTTGCAAATGTGCAATTGTTATTAATTGCAAGTCTCTGTAGCTCAGCTTTAGATTCTTCAAAGGAAATAGTAAGTGTAAAGCTCTATATGCTGCTTAGGGTGGCAGGGGAATTGGAAAATGGTCTTCCTTAGTGATCACAGCAATATCAATCAATATCTGGTGGTTACAACAGAGTCAGCCACACGATTTTATTGAACCTTCATAACTGGTATAAT